AAGTATTGTAATCGCAAACCATTTCGGGTATCGTATTTAAAAAAAAATATATATTAAAAAAATACATATATCCATTTTGACCGCTGTCGATTCCATTTGAACGATGTTTTTGCGTTATATGAGTACGTATGGATAGAATAAAGGACTCTTTTTTTTTTCAAACCGGATTGTGAAATAGATCTCAAGTAGATTCATATGAGATTTTTTTCGTGACGTTTGTACGTAGGTGCGTACGTACGTATGTATATATCTCGCATAACTTGAAAACGGGTAGCTCCAGCACGTTGCAATTTTGTATAAAGGACAGCTATAACATGTAGCTGTGAGCATCCGTTTTTAGTTATAAATGTATATGTTACCGTGAAAGATCGAGATTGGAGAATGTCGACTTTCACCGGAGAATATCAACATTCACCAAATACGTCCGTGAAAGACCGACTATTTCACTACATTCTTGTATATTCGGACCCTCACCGGTGTATGTCGACAATCACAGATATGCTCTGGTGAAAGTCGAAAAGAGAGGTCATAAAATGCCATAATAGTTTAAGTTGTTGCAATAAATAAGATTTGAATCACGTAATTTAGTAAGTTTTTTATTACTGTTATTTTATTTTCTCATTTAGAACGTACTGTATAATTAATTAAGTTTTTATCTTCTATTATTTTCCTTTCTCATTTTGAATGTATTGTATGTTTTAAGTTCTCATGTTCTTAAGTTCTTATTTCAAGTCTCAAGTGCGTTTATTCGCGACTGAATTACGGAGAAGAAAATGTAATATTGTTATATGTTCAACATTCACCATTAGTACATGGTGAATGTCGACATTGATCGGTGTAAGTCAGAAATAAGAGTATTTGAAAAATATTTCGGACATACACCAAGAGACTATGTGAATGTTGACATTCACCGGTGAAAGTCGACATTCTCCAGATTTCGGTGTTTCACCGTAACATATATAAATCTCTCTCTCTCTGTATATATATATATATGCCCACTCTGTTTCCTAGTCCAGTGGGCTAAGTGTTTTTACTGTTATATGCTGGTAAATTGTGCATTTTTTGCTTTAAATGTGTTTTAATTTATTGTTCCTATGTTCCGGTTAAAGATTTAATACGTTTAGTTAATCTGCCTGCAGTAGGTGTAGAATTATCAACAATTTAGAAGTATTTTAATTTTTCATTAAGCCTAATGACGCTGTCATTTGTTTACATTTGAAACGTAGTATAGCATATTGAATTAAGTCAGTTTTTGCACCAACTTCAATGCCTTTTTGTCGAGTCGGCCGAAAGTTTGTAGGCACCGAAAAAATCTATCTTTATTCCTAATTTTAATTAATTTAAAACTATAATTTTTTATTGCACATTTTTTTAGTGTGTTTTGGACTTTGTTGTTGTTGATTTTTCTGTATTTTACAATTTTTAATAAAGATGTTTTGAGATTTTATGTATTTTTTCCTCACCGCGAAGTGAGAACTGAATTGATTAAACGAGAAATATATCTCTAATGAAATTCCAGAAAATAAGTTTAAATGAAATGCAGAAAAAAATTGTCATAATTTAATAGGCCGTACAACTAATTCAATGTGGTGTCCAGAACAGATTTATTTTCATTATGTTCTATATTACAATTCTACTTTCGAAAAAAATTAGGAACTTAATCGCAAAATTTTAATAACAGCAGATAAAAATCATATATAAATTCTAATTTCAGATAAATCGATTTATTATTAATTTATGTCATCGGCAGAAACTTGTTATGTAATAGTTAAGAGGAATTCGTAGCCAAGGGCTAAATGCATGTCCACAGATGTATTGGGAATTTATAGGAGGCAAGGAATTATTTCAAGTGAATTTTACATTACTTTTGCTGTTCGGCAAGAAAAGAAATTCGACCAGAGATATGAGATTTATAGCTGGGGAATGGAAAATACGATTTACAATTCAATATGAAAATAAAATAAAAAGGAGAGAAATATTTCGCGAATTTATTTCTTGGAGCATGCGGAAAAGTTAGAGAAGTAGAGCAAGAAAAGACGAAACATCAAAAGAGTTGAAGGACAAGACAGAATTAGATTGCGTTGCATTTTAGTTTCGTCGTGCATTTTTGATTAATAAATTAATTAATATAAGTTTTTTATCGCTATTTTAATAAAAAATTATTTTTTGTAAGGGTTTATGCAATTGTCTACCATAATAATGAAAAATGATGTTTATAAAATTGTATGTTTTTAACGAATTCTTGGCAAAGTTCTATTAAATGGCTTCATGAAAAACGTAATTTAATATACGATGAGAAACACGACTCCTGGGTAAAAAAGTCAATGAAACAAAGATGAAATCTGTAAATAGTTAATGGTATGATAAAGTTTTATTTTTAGCAGCTATATTTCAAACCCAATTTGATCCATATTCTGTAAAGTACTTTCACCTACCTTTCTGCATGCCTTCGTGGTGTAACGTTAGCACAATCGGCGAGTATTCGAGAGGTCCAGATTCGAGTCCCGGCGAGGTCATTGCTAATTTTACACGTCTCTTGCTCCTAATAAATGCCAATGATTCTACAGTGCGCTCGAAGTAACATAAAAAGTGGAGGAGGATGATTCTTTACCACCAGGATTTGGCAATTGGATCTCTTAATCCGCAATCGCCCTTTAAAAAGGGGAGAATATAAGGTATTTTCTCCCTCCTTTCTGCACGCCTTAATGGTGTAATGGTAGCACACTCGGCGCGTATTCAAGAGGTTCACGTTCGAGTCCCGGCGAGGGCACTGCTCATTTTTCTCCTGATACAATTCAAAATACCTAATGACTCTACAATTCTAGTAAAAAGAATAAATATTGAGTACACGAATTGGCAATAATTATATGGAAAATCAAAGACTTTTCAAATATGTAGAATCCCAGACAGCATTTTAAAAGAAAGAGAAATGATTTAGGGTTATGATCTCCAATTAAATTTGAATAAATGCAGAATATACAAGAAAAAGAAAATGCACACGTGGGGTGAGTCAGAAATATTCACATTGTACATTTATGACGTAAAGGATACCTATTTAAAGCTGTATGGCTCGAAGTTTGAAGTAAATGCTGTCAGTTATCACGCTGACAGAACTGCTGATTAACTTAATAAAAATAAAATATTATTGTTTCATTTAAAATTGAGAGATTATATCTGCAGCTAAAATTTTGCTAAACATGCAGCAGCAAATTATAAGCGCAGCGGGGGCAGTTGTGCTTTCGATAGCCATGTTGTAACTGATCGCTGCTCAGAATTAACAAAACGCTATGACACTACAGAGATACCCTTTTATTACAGAACTATTTCCATCGACTAATTGCTATTTGCAACTAACAATGGAAGATATTTAGAAAATGTGGATGTCTTTCGATGGGAGACATCTAGAAAAGTACAATATCTTAAAACGATTCACAACAGCATTAATATAGCATAATCTTCACTTTTGAAACGGTCAGGAATTTTGGGGGTAGTATATTGATTCTGCTTGGTAACATCGTGTAGCGTGTTGGTTAAAGATTTGACTTTTCAGTGGCACTATTTCACTCCCTTTAGCAAAAACACTATCAGCTGATGATAGAATTAAATATTATAGTCCTATTTTTGACACCACCTCTGCAGATGATCAAAACATAAATGCACCCGTTAAACAGCTTTTGCCGATTTGTTTTTGGTACTACTTTGTACGAAGTAAAGGAAGTATTGTAATCGAGAAAAATTTTCGGTATCATATTTAAACCGCTCACGAAACCATTTGAGCGATGTTTTTGCGCGACATCTGCACGTGCAGACGGAATAAAGAACTAGTTTTGCTAAAAAGGATCATAAAATGGATTTAAAATGGATTCATAAGGAATTTTCCTTGAAGGCTGTACGTACGTATGTATGTGTGTCGCATAACGCAAGAACGAGTAGCTGTACACCGTTGGCTAAAACATGTAGTTGTGCACCTCTCTTTTTCGATGCAATCGGCTGCACAACTCTTGTATATACACATATATATATATATATTCATACTCTGTTACCTGGCTCTGTGAGCTTGTTTTTTTTATCCTTATATGTTGTGTATGTTTGCTTTAAAAGTGATAGAATCATGTGTTTTTTATATTAAAGTTAAGATTTTTATGCCTTTAGCTAATCTGTATGCAATAGTTGTAGAACCACCAACACTTTAAAAAAGTTTAACTAGCGAGTTAAACGTAATGAATTACCATTTGTTTACATTTGAAACTCAGTAGAATAGTGAATTAAAGTAAGTTTCTGCACCTTCAGTGTCTTTTTACAGAGTGGCACAAAAACTAAAATTTCAGTTTTGTGCACCGAAAACTCTGCCTTCTTGCCTGCTGGCCGAGTTGCTTGTTTTTGCGTATAAACACTAATTTTAACTGTAAAAATTGTTTTTTAGCTGTTTTAACTGTATCTGGTGTTTTATGGTTTTCTGTATTTTACAATTTTTAAGGAAGGTGTTTTGAGTTTTTATGTATTTTTGCCTTGCCCGGAAGTGAGTACTGAATTAATTCAATGAGAAATGTATATCTAATTAAATTCGAGGAAGTAAGTTTAAAGAAATGCAAAAAAAAAAATTGTACTTTTTAATAGGCCATACAAGGAAGTCACGTGGTGTCCACATCTTATTTAACGCATTACTGCCAAAATATACCAAGAACAGTAATGTTTGTGGGAATTAAAAAGATGTTATTAAACTTCTACGTTTCGGTCATTTTACATTTCTTTTGTTGTAATCTCTAAATATTCTCCATGATGTTGATCTTATTGCACTAATAACTGCATGAATCAAAGAGATTTATACAAGCTCTTTCACTACTTTTTAATTAGACCTCAATATAAAGAAAGCACTGAGGCAGTAATTTATTCTCTGATTTCTTGCTCATGGACTAATAATTTCAAGATTTCTTTCTTATATGATCATAATATTTTGAATCTTATAATTATTTCATCCAAGTTATTCATACGATTATAATTTCTTCTCCTGTAGATTCCTGTCTAAACAAAGAAGATACCTCTGTTGTATTTGAAGTAAGCCTTTAAATTATTTTAACATTGTAATTGCTTTAATTTGTATAAATGTTATAATAATGTAAAATTAAAGTCCACTAGAATTTTGCACATCTTTTGCTCATTTTTACTTCGTTGTACTAAGTAAAGAAAGCATTGTAATAGCAAAAATATTCAGGTATCATATTTCATCGAAGATATCCATTTTGACTGCTCTGGAATCCATTTAAACAATGTTTTTGCGCAAAATCTGTACTTAAGGACAGAATAAAAGACTCTTCCAAAACACATTGAAAAATGGATTCAGAAGATTATTTTTTCATGACACCTGTACGCACGTTTGTATGTATATATGTCTCGCATATCTCATAAACGAATAGCCTCAGAACGTTGAAATTTTGTACATGGAACTACTATAGCATATAGTAGTGGAACTCATGACTTGGTTGCAGTCGGTCGCACAAAAAGTATATGTATAAGCAAACTCAGTTTTTTATATTTTTTTATATGTTGATAAATTGTGCATTTTTTGCTTGAAGGTTGACTGAATTAAGCTGTTCTGATGATCCGGTTAAGGTTTTCATACCTTTAGTTAATCTAGATACCATAATTCTACAATTATCAACAATTTGACAGTTGTTTAAGTCTTGCTAAGCCTAATGCGTCCGCCATTTGTTTAGATTTGGAAATTCTTAGAGGAATAGTGAATTTAGTTAATTTCTGCAACTTCAGTTCTTTTGCCGAGCTGGATTAAAAGTAAACTTTCAGTTTTATGCAAAATCTGCCTTCTTGCCTGCTGGCCGAATTGCTTGTTGTTCGGTAGAATCTCTAATTTTAATTATAAAAATTGTGTTTTTTAACTGTTTTAATTCTATTTGGTATTTTATGTTTCTTCTGTATTTTACAATTTTTAATAAGGATGTTTTGTGTTTTATGTATTTTTGCCTTGCCGTGAAGTGAGAACTGAATTGATTAAATTATAGGATATCTATGGAAATTCGAGGAAATAGGTTTAAGTAAAATGCTGCAAAAATGTGTATATTTTAATATGAGTACAAGAAGTCATGCGTTGTCCGCATAAGAGCTTTTATTCTTGGAATCTGTTCTATTTTTTTTAATTGTATAATTCACTTATCCGTTAGAATTTTTATTGTACTTAAATCTTTTTTAATCAGAGCAACGCATTTTGATTTCAATCTTTTTGTGTCTCAGAATATTTTAGGTAATGTCTGTTTCTGCAAATAACGGTTAAACACTAACAGTTGTAGTGCACTATAAATGAAGAAATTGAATTGTTAAATGATGTAAATGCGAATGCTATTATCATTAACAGATAATTATAAGTAAATTTATAATTATAAAATAATATATAGAAATATGTATAGCAAAAAGGCATTGTTTTATATAAATATGATTCAGGCAAATGACAGAAATACAAATGTGTTTGAAATGAAATTCCCAAACATTTTATTAAATGTATAACGAAGTTTGTATGTGAGAATATTGAAAAATATTATAATTATTCCAATTAATATGTTAACGGCATGATCATATTCTATAGACTTTGATTAAATTTGTATTTGAATCTCAAAGACTTACGAGCCATCGAAGCAATAAAGCCATTGATTTCTTTTGGATAAACTCATTCAGTATCTGACCCGTTCTATTGACAATCAGAAAGTATGATTGCTTGGGATCGTTTAATACTTTTCAACTTTAACATTAAACAGTTGCGTAAGCGTAAAATAACATTCCGTAAAGGCATTCCACAGAAACGCAGAAAATTTGTATGAATTCTGTTGCAAGTACTACTTGTCTACAGAAAATTAATTTAATTGCTTTGTGGAGTTGTCCAAAGATGTAGGATAACACAAAAAGGCTATGCCTTTGCAATCATACCGAGACTTTGCTATCAAATTATGCCAGTTATTATAATTCTTAAATCAACATTAACTTAATTTCGCAATTAGTGTTATGTTTCCCTAAAAAATTTATTTAGTTCGTCTGAAGAAGAAATTTTTATATTTCTGTCGCATATAAATGATATTTTAATCAAAATATAATATGTAAGATCAGGTTTTAATTTGTAATAGCCTCCAAATACTTCATTTTAATTACATGATTTCCCCTTTTCTCTTAAAAATTGCCATCTGCCCATAATTAATCTTTCTCATCTGCTTCCCGTTCTAAATTACTCGTCGTAATCCGATAGTTATGAATTGCTGAAGATACACAGTCTTCAATAACGGCAGAAGAAAATTTAATCTCCTATTAAACAATGGTTGTCTGTTTATTTTTAGAAACAAGTTGTTTTATTTTAGAAACAATATTAACAAAATATCATAACTTACTGTAGGATTATGTTAATTATGATAAGGAGTATGTTAATTTTATTAACAGTTAAATTTTGAGTTAAACTTCTTTCCTGTCAAATTCTTATCTTAAATTACTTTTTCCGGTCAGAACATAGTTTTAGAATCACGTCTGAATGCATAATGAGGAGGAGCGCTATTTAACTGTGAAGTTCTACTTGCTGAGTTAGAGAGAATCAGAGTTTCTGATTAGCGCGCGTCCTCCTCTTTGGCTACTCTCTCTTAAAACTGTTTTTACGCTCGGCCGTACTCAGGCCCTTGATAGCTTCGCCGTCATCTCGTGTTTAAGGGGCCAACTTCATTAAAACTTCGATAGCTTCGGCTATATCTCTTTAGTTTAGATAGTCTTAGTTTACTTCTTATCCTCTTAAGTTCAAGCCCAAGTGACGGCTTTTATTGTACACTCCAAGACGGAGTTATGTTAAATCCTATTTGAATAATAAAGGGTTATTTACCCTTCCATCTTGTTGTTTCTTGTCACACGAACTCAAAAGATCATTCGCTTATCAGTTATTAAGATTCTTCACGTTCAACTGTAACGTAGCATTTACAAGTGGTGAACTCTACAGCTCATATTATACATCTGCATCAAGATGCGAAATTTATGCTCTAAAATTTAAAAGTAGTGATTATACAGCACTTGCTTTAATTCCTTGCGCTTATTATGAGCATATGTTACGAATAACTTTAAAATAAAGAAGATTTAGAACGTTCAAAACATTTTGCTTTATATATATTGTTGCGGGCGTACGGGATCCTAATGATTTCAATGCACAAGTCCGATAAAAAGTCAAGAAAATTTATTCTTATCACAAGAAATAAAACAAAATGCTGAAATGTTTCCTCACAGATATTCGTACAGTGTCACAATTTCGCACAGTAGTTATATTTTAAACTACTAAAATGCTAAATAGAACCCATTCCAAAGTGCAAAAAAGCTAATCTGCTCTCACCGCGAATTCGCTACAATCATCAGCAAAAACATAATAAACAACTAAACTGAGGTTTCCGCTCCGGCGTTTAAAAGCTTTTTATTTAGTGCACAAGAACATTCTGGTATTTTTTATTTTCCCGAGGTTTCTGGAAAGAAAAAGAGTAAAATTATAGTTACAGCTAACACACAATTGCATTTATTCAATTTAAATATAATTTACGAGATATCTATTTATTAAATGCGCGTATTTAATAAATAGATATCTAGTATTTTACTTTTTCGGCGTAGCTTTCTCTAAAGACTCGTCACGTGCGGCATTGCACGAGAAAATAAAACAATTTTAATTAAAATTCCAGTTAAAAATAACTAAATAAATACAAAATCCGTAACAATTTATTTATTTCTATATCTATATATATCTAAAGGAATAAAGAAACACGTACTGTTCAAGCTGTATTTCCTTTATATGAATATATATATAGTGAACTAATGAATACATAAAGAAATATACATCTATGCATTTATATATGTGTGTGTATATATAATATATATACACACACAATGAAACAGCATACAACAGTTTGGTTATTTCAAATCTATCTCAATACACACACACATGCGCACATATAAATATCACACTTATAGACAAAAATTAAGAAATTGTGAACAAAATTGACAGAGACATGAAAAATGTGAAATTTGATATTAGGGAAATCCAAAATTCCCACTAAATATGTAGAAATACCAACGATTGTCACCAAGCCAAAAGCATTCCCGAAAACTACAGATACAGGCAAGAGCACTGTAGAGACATTAGGCATTTTTTGGAAGCAGAAGCAATGAAAAATATGCAACGCCTTAGATTTGAACTCCGGAATACTTGCCAAGAGTACAGACCACCACACTACGAAGGCATGCCAAGGAGGCAGGAGAAATACTTTATAACACAAAAAATGCAAAAATATCTAGGAAGTCAAAAATCTGATTCAATGTTACCAATCGATCAGATTCAAATGAATCTCTACTTCCAATATTTCACCTTATCAGGTCTTGAGTTCCTCTTTACTTGCTTTGGAAACAAGCTATGTTCGATAAATTGTGAAGTAGACAATACACACAGGAAGGGTATACGAAACCCTTTATTTTTCTATGTCTACAGCGATTTCCAGAACTTCGGAATACAGAGACCAACCACTTGTGGTCTGAACGTAAGAATATAAAAGTACTAACTAAAACTCTAATTAAACTAACTTTGGATTAATATACAAGTGCCTACTTTAAGATTGGCCGTAAATTAACAAAAAGCCGTATGTAGTACAGAGAGCTGCTAAAACTACGATACGTTTAAAATTAGCACGAGGATTAAACCTCTGGCCTTGAAGATAACCAGCAACCGAGTAAAACTACTATGGCAAGCGGCCTGCTTCTAATAACTCCTTCCTCTCTCTTGCTTGGCAAAAAGCCACAACTTAAGTACTTGGCGTTAGCAAGAAAAATTTGCATAAATAAGTTAAAACTTTTAATTCTGGCCGGAAGTAGAAAATAAGAAGTGATAGTAAAGATTTAAAATAAAATAAACGTTAGTAAAACTTAGGATCCTTACAACCTTTCTATTCTAAAAATAGTGAGGGTTTTTAATCAGTCTCTCTAAACTGCGCCGAATGGCTCTTGCATGATGCTTATGTCACAGATACCAATACGGCTTCAGCCAATAA